AAATCGAACCTATACGGAACTTTTGTTCGATAATTAAGCTAAATCTCGGGGTACTTTCATTATTACCACAAATCTCATACACCAAACAGAAGCAAATAAACAATACTCAGTTAACTCAGATACCTTAAGCATTTGCTCTCCACATTCTCCTCCAAAGCATGCTCAAAATTGCCAACCACCCCTAGTAATTCCACAATATTCCCAAGAACACCATTGTACGAAATTACCGAACTGCCCTTTTCGAACTCGGGGCCATCCACATCACTTGACCGTCCTCGACAGCAATAATCTTCCGAATCCTCAGACACTTTCAAGCTCTGCTCCAACTCGACTAACAACTCCTTGCTCGTGTACAGTTGCTGCAGGGCTCGCTCGAGCTTCTCACTGACCGAAATAAACGTGCACTCGTCATCGGTTATCAGCCACTCGATCGCGTCTCGTTCATCAATCTCCTCACAGTTCAAGATCACCAAGCTGTTGGTCACATTGTGCTCCTTTATTTCCGAGTTTGCCCTCAGCATGAGATCCTCCTCGGCCTCCAAACACTTGAGCAACGAGTCGAACTTCCGAATCAAGCTTCCCTCTCGGAAAATATCGGCATTCGACACATTTTCTTGATTTTCAGGTACACTCGAGTCCTTCGCGGCCTCGAGAATGAGAAACCGGTGGATATCCTCCCGGAGAAGACACTCAGTGGCAAAATCGACTTTTTCGGAATTACAAGCTTCGAAAATCTCCCTAAAATCACTCGTCACGCATCGTAAAAGAACCCGGTAAGTATCTTGCATCAAGAAATTCTCGAAAAACAGCCCATCTCTCTCTTCTTTTAGGCTTTCGACCTCGAATTTTAATCTCTTGACTTCATTACCAGTGCTTCTGTTTGCTCTTACATGATCAGACTTAAAGTTAAAACTTCTACTCTTCTTCAGTTGGTCCCTTTTGGTCAAATTCTCGAGCCTCGTAATAGCATCTCGGATTTTTCGCTCGAGCCTGCTACCACCTTTCTCTCTCCCGATCCGATAAAACGACCCTTCTCCACCTTCCCGTTTCAACCGGCTCAACTCTTCGACCTGTTTCTTAATAATCGACTCGAAATTCTTCTTCATTTTGGCCACATGTTTTTTCCCATCAACCTCATCAAAATCACTATTATTATCTCCTGTGAACTCGATATCCGATACGGGCTCACTCGAGCTCCGGGCAATAACGGGCCGCCTTTTTTCATGCATATCATTCGTCTTAACATAATCTCGAAGCTCACGGCACAAATTCCTCAACTCGTCAAGAAAATCCATCCAATCATCACTCGAGAAGCCCGCTCTCTCATTCGGGCCGCCTAGTCTGAGCTCATCAAGAAAGCCTCTGACCAAAGTCAACTCGACGTCCCTCTCGACCGAGCAAGCCCACTGATTTTCAGACGGGATAGTCCCAATCCGGCCGAACGCGAGATCCAATGTCTCTTTCAATATATCGATATCCGAACACATTTTCCTAATCAGCACGTTCTGATTGTTCGGCTGCTTCACGTTCACTCCCGGAATATCAAAATCAACATCGTCTTTGAAAATCGGGCTCCCGTTTCTTTCCTTATCCAAGAACTCGAAACTGAGGTTCGGGCTCGAGACGCGCGTCTTCTTATTTCGCCTCTCGATGCTCAGGGCTCGTCTCTCCTCGTCGAGCTTCTGCTTCATGCTCGAAACCTGCTGGTCGACCGAGTCTTTCAGCCTGAAAATATCTTCGTTTTCAGCTCGGCAAGCCTCTCTTTCTTTCAACTCGAGCGATTTTTCGAGCCTCGACCGGGTTTCAGACAGGTCGGTTAGCTCGCGATCCTTCTCGAGGATGAGGTGGCGCATGTCCTGAATGCGGCCCGCCAGCCAGGATTTGATCTCGGTTAGGTCCGAGTGGATTTTGTTGCAGTTGGCTGCCATGTCATCGGTTTGCTCGTCTCGGACGATGGAAAGTCCGCCCTCGACTAAAATAGCTGCCAGCTCGTAAAATGTGGACCGGTCATGCAGGAACTGGATGGGCCCGTCTCGTGACTGGAGCTTCTCGTGGGCCTCGTCCATGGCTGACCGGAGGATCCGCATCACGACAGAATCTGACTTTGTCCGGCATTCGATTTGGCCGAAAATATCTTCCATTTGTCTTTTCAAGTTGGTTCTTACAAAGAGAAGAAGTGAGAAGCAAGGGACTTGTTATTACCCTCAAAAGTTGGAGGATAGTTAGTTTAGTAGACTTGTTCTGAGGTGAGCTAATGCAGAAGATCCAAATGTTCAGGTGAATTAGTTACTTTGTAGTAATTATTTTATAGTTTTACTCTGCTGAAATTGCCTAAAGAATAAAAATATAGATATTCACAACATTTTATAGTTTGGAATAAGAGACAAAAGAATTAGCCATAAGGACAAATGTAACAGTTAATAATCTATTCAGATTATATCACACTAAAGATAGCACAATTGTATTTGAAATAAATTATTACTATTTTTTTTTATTTAATTCATTCATTTTTTTTGTTTTTATTTTTATATTTGTACTAATTATCTGTTCAGGGATTTCCACTAGAAAACAGAGAGATTGTAGGTGCTCCATTTGCTGACTTTTCCTCTAATGGTTCCAAACATCTGAACCAACAAAATTTTCTAAATTTAGAGAAGAATGGGATAAAAAAAAAATGAAAAAACAGATAAGAAAAGAAGAAATTTTTTTTTTTAAAAAAAAACACATGACTGTTTAATTTACCAACAAAAAACTTCTCCCAAAAAACATGATGCATGAAAGTATTCCAAAAAAAAAAAAATAAGTAATATATCAAGAAACAAAAATAAAAGATAAAATTTGTGAATGGGTGAAACAAAATGTGGCTTTCAAGTTCAAATGGAGGTAACAAGGGAAGACGAGGAGGAAGGAACGGCCTAGTTGCCGTGGCCATCGATAAAGACAAAGGAAGCCAAAACGCTCTCAAATGGGCTTGCGAGAATCTCATCACGAGAGGCCAAACCGTTATTCTCATCCACGTCATCCAAAGATCGCATTCCGTGATGCCATCATGTAAGAAAGCCAGTCACTTAATTCATCCTTATTTCGTTCATTTTCAGACAGCCTGAAATTTTTGCATGCATGAACCTGAAATTCGATTATGTTGACTGCAGTTGGAAAATATGCGGTCAATGGTCTCAATGGCGCGAAAAATGCTCAAAAGAATGTCCTTGAGAAGCAAACCAAAGAGCTATTGCTCACCTTTCATTGCTATTGTACTCGTAAAGATGTAAGCTGACTTCAAAAGTACAAGAATCTGATCGATTAATCTTATTTACATCATACTTATTTATTTATTTTGGCACCTTTTTCCAACAGATACAATGTTTAGATGTTGTCCTGGAAGACACGGACGTAGCAAAAGCAATATCAGAATGTATGGCTCATGCTGCAATCGAGAATCTGGTTCTTGGCGCGTCTCGCCATGGATTTATCAAGTTAACGAATCTTCCTAATTCTCTCTCTGCCTTAGTTCAAACTTATACGAACGAAAAAATAAATAAATATTCATATTATGTAGCATTATCAATGTGTGATCTGTTTGTAATTTTTCGTGTTCGATTAGTTAATAGATAATGGTTGCGTTTTACGGCAGGAGAATGAAGACAGTGGACATACCGACTAAGGCATCAAAAGCAGCACCCGATTTCTGCACAGTTTATGTCATTTCGAAAACAAAGATATCTTCTGTCAGGAATGCGTCCCGTCTGGCGCCATTTGTGTCCCCTCTCTTAGCACAAATACAGCAAATCGAGGAACAGGCGAACAAAACCGAAACCTTAACTGCTGCCGATAATCTGTCCAAGCGCACACCAAGCATGAGAGGTTGGTTAATTCTCTCCCTCATACAATCTAACATTTTCAATATATTTCAAACGATAAACGAGCAGAACATCAGTCCAAAAATTCTAGATGTAAAGATATATTCTGCTTTCTTTTTTTTTTTTTTTTTTAGGTGGAGGTTTTAGGACACCACTAAAGGCTGCAGTTGATGACACTGATTTCATAAGGTAATTATCAATAAACTTAAGGAACAAACCAGTTTAGGAAATAAAAAAGTAAAACCATGTTGTAATAATAAAAACACAGGACACCATTTTCGAGGGGAAGAGGGTACAATCCAAAGATGTTTGGCGATCTCTCGGAACTCGATACGGATATATCATTCGTAAGCTCAGACAGAGACAGGACGAGCACAGACCGTGTCTCTGGCATACTTTTCGACAGCATCGACTCTTGCCGGACCCCACGAGTTTCGTTGAGCTCAGAAAGCAGTTATGGGTCCATGCATTCGGGGGCCAAAGGGAGCGAATATAGTTCATTCACAGACTTTTCGACATCCTCAGTCGAGAGCGTAAGGAAAAACTATTTAAATGCCATTTTCAAAAGTATTCATTTTCTTTTCTTTTCTTTTTTTTCTTTTTTCTTTTAAGAATATTCTATGCAGGACGATGCTCAAGCTGAAATGAGAAGGCTGAAGCTTGAGCTGCAGAGGACCATGGAAATGTACAGCACAGCATGTAAAGCAGCTCTAACAGCAGAACAAAAGGTTAAAAAAAATCTTTGAGTTCAAAAGTTCTTACACAACTACTACAAGAAAAATGATTTAATAATAAATGTTAAATAAAGCAGGCAATGGAGCTCCACAGGTGGCGAGAGGAGGAAGAACGACGGCTAGAAGAGGCCCGTCTAGCTGAGGAGTCGGCCCGTCTAACTGCCGAGCAAGAGAAGGCCAAATACAAAGCGGCCTTGGAAAATGCCGAAAAGAGAGTGAGTTCCGAGACGAAAGCCTCGGAGGACTCAGACGAGAAGGCTCATAGTCTATTGGCCATGAGATACAGAAGGTACACTATAGATGAGATCGAGAAAGCAACCGAGTTTTTTGCCGAGAAGCTTAAAGTCGGGGAAGGTGGCTATGGCCCAGTGTACAAATGCCACCTGGACCATACACCCGTTGCCGTTAAGGTCCTCCGGCCGGATGCCGTTCAGGGAAGGTCTCAGTTTAATCAAGAGGTCGGTAAAAAACAAAAGCTCGGTTATGAACAATTTCTACTTGTGCATGCTTATTTGATTAGCTTATAAGCTTCTTGTATTCAAATAAGCTTAGTTTGATAGGACGAACTTTTTTAAAAAGCTCGAGCTTATCTCTTAAGCTTTCATAAGCTTCATTCCTTGGGTAGCTTTTCAAATAAGCCCATTGAAATTTTTATTTCAACTAATTTTATCAAACACTATTATCATATAAGCTAGTTTTTCACCTATAAGTCATAAGCTATCAGCTACAAGCTCGAAATTCACTTGAAAGCTATAAGCTAACTTATCAGCTAGGTTTACCAAACAGACAGCAGCAAACCATAATTATTTCAAGTACGGCTCAATATTAGACGTATATAAACCGATTTTTCTTTTTCTTTTTTTTTTCTTTATCAGGTCGAGATCCTGAGCTGCATGAGGCACCCGAACATGGTACTCCTCCTCGGCGCGTGCCCCGAGTACGGCTGCCTCGTCTACGAGTACATGTCAAACGGCAGCCTCGAGGACCGGCTCTTCCGCCACTCTGGCAGACCTCCGCTGACCTGGCAGCTCCGGTTCCGAATAGCAGCTGAAGTTGCCACGGGCCTACATTTCCTCCACCAGGCCAAGCCCGAGCCTTTGGTCCACCGAGACCTCAAGCCTGGTAACATCCTCCTCGACAACAACTTCGTGCCGAAAATTGGTGATGTGGGCCTGGCCCGACTCGTCCCGCCTTCATATGCTGCCAGCGAGGACTCTGTCCACCTCCGTATGACATCAGCTGCCGGGACATTCTGCTATATTGACCCAGAGTATCAGCAGACGGGCATGCTTGGGGTCAAATCAGACCTTTACTCGTTCGGGATTATACTTTTGCAGCTGCTGACAGCAAAGCCAGCTATGGGGTTGGCTCACCATGTGGGCCGGGCGGTCGAGCGGCGGGCTTTGAAAGAGGTTTTGGACCCGGAAGTGCCGGATTGGCCCGAAGAGGAGGCCATGAGGATTGCAAGATTGGGCCTGAGGTGTGCGGAGATGAGGAGGAAAGATCGGCCGGATCTCGGTAAAGTTGTTTTGCCGGAGCTAATTAGGCTGAGGGAGTTTGCTGAGGAGAATATGGGGCAGTTTCTCGTGGGTGGCATGGCGCGTTTTTCCGTAATCGACGGTCGAGTTTCTACGGATCATAACAAGGTCAGTAAAAGTAAAACAGGAATTGCTTTTGTTTGAGTGATAATGGAAAGTAATTCTCAAGTAAGGACTTGAAAGTTGGAAGAGATCGAGCATAGAATTTTTGAAACCTGGCTGTTTGGTTTCGATCTTCGCTCGTGATTTGAAGCATGTATATTGACTTGGAAAAGTTTGTGCAGGTAATGAAGAGCGAGCCTAAAGTAAAACTTGAATATAGCACACCAAAAGCCTGTCTGAGTACAGCATCTCTACCAGACAACCTATCTGGTATGATCATAAGTCATAACAGCCAAGAAACTATTTTTGTGGAACAAAAATATATATAAACAAATAAGCAGTTAGCATGTTTTAAGTTAATCTAGAAACAATAGTCTCCTACTCATTCTGTTTTCTTCTCTTTTTTTCTCACAGAAGCTGCTGAATGAGCTCAACAACAAGAAGGCAGTATATAAGGATGCGACCAATGCATAGTTTTTCGTCAATCTTATGTTGTATAATTTCTCTTTGTGATGCTTTTGTAGCTGTACTAGAAAAGGAGTAGCTAAAGATGCCTTGAAGCTTACTGTCTGCTATACAGTTTTGTGACTTTTTGTCTGAGAACTTAAATTAAAGTATATGTATAGTGATTCTTATATGATGTAAATAAAAATGAGTTTAGTTGACAATACATGAGGTTAATAAACAGTTGGCATAATGTCCTGGGGTTGTTTTCAAGCAGTGCACGGGTTAATATGCTCACAACTCATGTGGCAGGAAAATATATATCAATAGATTAGCATACTATACATGACGAGTATGGTATTCAAAAGTCATGAGATCTTGACATGACGAACACATCTTAATGTACGAGCATCTCCATGTTTTTCATATGCTTGTGAAACTAATAAAATTCTCTTTAAGAGTAAGGCAATGAGCTATGAATGTATTGACTATTGAGAGGTGTTGAACTATGGTAAAGTATAGACTAGTGACAACTTGTGTTATTAAAAATTCCTTCAGAACTACCATTATGAGGTTTTACATCAATACTTCATAATGAGAAAATTGTCATCAAAGATACTAAAAGAGAACACTCCAAGTTCAGATTCAAAGAGTCTGCATTTATCACAAAAATAGAGAGAACAGAAAACTTAAGAGATTTCACTTTCATTGGATTGTTTATCCTTTTCAGAAACTATCTTTTCCTTCAAAGCATCCCAAAAGGCAGGTAGAGCAACACCATCAGCAACTTCCTTGAAGGATGGCAGGTAATTCACGTCTACAATTACATGGTCGCCAGTGCCTTCTTGAATCTGACGTTTATGAAAAAGATGAAATTAAATAAAATTTTCAGCACGCTAGAGAAACAGTAAATAGATCAGCTAGATGTAGTTTAGAACTTAAGGTGCCATGCTATTGCTAATTTCTTCTATGCATATTCGTATGATTATTTGTGCTTTATTCATGCCCAAGAATAGAGTTGAACTGGGAACCTAATCCACCAATTGAGGTACTATTTTTACACTGAAGTTTGCAACTGAGCTTCACGCGTTTTTACCAACTGTAAAAATTCCAGTCTGTCAAGTCACTATACTCCATTTTGGACAAAAACAATATGGAGATGCTAACGTGTCGAATTGCGAATAGGACGGAAAAAAAAAAGTTGTTCTTCGAACGAAATAAAATAGTTTACTCACAACAACATCAAAGCCGAATATTGTAAGGTCGAGTGTTCTTCTAAGCCAATTGGCAGCATCATTAACAAGATCAAGTTCAAGCTGATGGTTACCAGCACTGAGTTGTTCTGTAGCAACAGGTAGAGATTTTAGGCTGCGGAACAGAATTATATTAGTTCATTTTCGGAATGCCATATGGAAAAATGATTATCAATTATGTAGAAGCATAATGCTTAAGATTGGAAAGGTGCAAGTACCTGTCAAAGTGTAAAGGTTTCGATCCCTTGTCCGCAAATAAGTTCATTAAGATATCAGTATTGGGAATCGACTTTTTTACTGCATAAAAGACCTTGCTGCCCAAGGCATAGAATTTGTAAATCAAAGATGAATGATCAACATATTCCTGCAACAGTTAAAAGATATTACAGTTGAAGACAACAGTTAATAGATATTACAGAAAAATGAAAATGAATTGGGGGAGTGTGATTGGTTTAACAAGGTATACGCAGACATAAAAGTGAAGTCTGCTCTTCAACTTCACCAACTGAACACGGTAAATGCCAACCATGTACAGAAACCAGTCTTCAAATTACCCATCATGCGTAAAATGAACCCTCCGATTTAACCATAAGCCCCTTACCTGAACAACTGCTGGAAGAGGAACATTGAGATCCTTGTATTGGTCCATTTTAAAAACAATTGCCTGCCAAATATATCATATCATTGTTAAAAAATATAACCTTATTTAATTATGATTTATTTGTAAACCACTGCAGGGCGTAATCTTTACTTATACTTCATGCTTTCTATAATTAAAGCTACATTTAGGATATTAGCAATTTAGAATGGTGCTACAGTTGCCAGTAATGAATAGTTGCATGTTGAGTAGCTGTGCAATGATCTCAGATGTAGAGCTTATAAGAGTAGGTTTCCACAAAAAGCTGAAGGAGAACCAAATATAATAGTTTGTTCAAGCACGGGAGGCAGCAGATTCAACAAAATGAAACATTATTTTCTTGATAATGCCTAGAAAACAAATTTTAATGAATCATGCCCGTCTTGCTTATATTTTCCTTTTGCCCGTCAGCAGATTCTAACTAAATTCGACAATCACCTATCTGGAACTAATTTTTTACAGCAAACAGATACTTCAGATAATCTAATAGTTATATTGGTTGCTAACAAGATGAAATAAGAGTTTCAAGACTACAAAATCCAGACTTCAAAAGAAGGTGCATACCATACTGTGAGCATTAGATACACCACATGCAACTTGAGGTTTCACTATATTAGGTAAAGACAACTTTGCTTCTGCTAGCCTCTGCTCCAAATACGGCTGATGGAAGCTATCAACCTGCAATCTGAGGTTCAACTGTAACGGAAACTCCTGATAACGCTTTAAGATTCTGGAAGAACAAACATATCATAGCTACTGTTGCTACAAAAACAAACATTTCTTTTTTTACCCCAGAATATGTTACATTCCTTCTGTTATTTCCTCTATTCCGTTGGAATCGGAAATAGCCATTTATGTCAGTATTAGATACCAAATCTGATATCCAGAAAATAGGACAAGAATTGTCCCATAGGTGAAGCTGATTCATACATCGCCTTTGACCAACTCTGTTAGTCCTACTTAAGTTTCAATCAATGAATTTCCAGAGATACATAATACATACTGCATTTAAACTCTCATTAAATAATAGCAACCAAACCGTACACAGATTCTTCCCAAACAATAATCTCGATGAGAGTATGTCATCATAAGAAAGATATACTTATGATAACTGACCTTGAGAAAATGCGGAGCTCTTATTTTCGAACGGCCATGGATGTTGAGAGCTTCCAAGCCAATTAGAATCTGCTGGACTTCCAGACGATCAAGTATAGGGGATATGTTACTAATTGGGTCGATTACGCAACAAACAGGCTGTGATTTCATACACCTGCAAATCATAACTGCATATGTCAACAAAAAGATTCTGATTATCCAACAAATAATTCGAAATTCGACACAACAGAACACAACTTTTGACTACATACTAAAGTTTGCAATTTTTTTATTCAGTACAGTTTGCCTCTAGTAACTTGTACAATGTACAAAAGGAAGCAGAAGTCAGAGAAAGAAACAACGGAAAGACAAGTAACACGTCTTAATATCAAAAAGGCAAAACAAGTAAAGGGAAAGTAAAGACCCCCTCACTATCGCAAAAATCATTTGGATACCAACTTAATTTTATCAATGCAGAGTACTACGTATCACCAGAGACAAATATAGCAAAGGACTACTGCAGGTTAAACGCGACATATAATCACATAACTAAAATTTCCAAAGAGTACACAAAACAGCATTTTACAAAGCTCTATTAGATCTACTTTCTATCCAGGAGCCAATTTACGATATTACCATTTAATAAAAGAATATAAAATTTAAAAGTTGGTCCCAAATTCTCTGGAGTATCCACCTCAGATCATAGAAAGTCATATGGGAAAATAATAGCCCACACATTATGAGAGTTTAGCGGTCAGCAATATTTTATCTAAATAGTGCATGCAGATAACACTCTCCGTTCAAATGAGATAAGATTACAAGCTTCTGTATCACTCACAGTTCAAAAGACATAAACACATAAATTTTCTTAAATGGGTTCAAGATTCATCAACTTGAATTTAAGATCTACGGCATATTAGCAGAACAGGAAGTTATAAATGAAAGGCAAAATTCACGTTGCACAATTGGGAAACTAATACCAAGATCCCGGCACATTCTTACATGTTTATTAAACTGGTTTCCAATGGTAAACAGAAAACACAATAATGACAATGGAAACAGAGTGGACAGTTTAGATTTACTTTTGCAACTCTTGTAGATTACTTGTAAACGCGACTTTTTCACTTAATTCTGAAGGACTACACATGTCAACAGCCAAGATTTCATCTGTTGCCTTATGAAGAACTGCATCAACTAGTTTTAACTGGCGTGATAAGGGAAGTTCATATTGAAGGGGCAAAAACATCAACCCATTTTGTGTTGGACGCAATGGAAAGGCGCCTCTCTGCAAAATAAGAGGTCGTGTAAGAATTTGTGATTTCTCATAAGAATCTGATAATTCAAACCCACAGATGTGCTTATAGGGTAGCGGACAAGCTGTAATGCAAGAGATTAGAACAGCATGAAACAATTCATGTCCAAACATGAGCAAAACAAAATAACAGTACTCCAGAAGCACTAAGATCAGTCAATATTGACAAGAGAGCAGCATGATAAAGATAACCGGTGCGTAGACTGAAGTCTACTACATTACTTCAGGCAATTGCATACACAATCCCGAGCCACCTGCAATTTTACTCCTCACTTTGAAAGTTAAACGGCCTGGGCCATTACAGTTAAGTGATTGTTCATGTTAAATTCTAGTGCTTCTTCTATTACTGAAGTTTCTAGAAAAAAAATATATCAAACAACGCAATGCACCTTGGGTCGCTATGGAAACAGCCTCCTTGTATAATTACAAGGATAAGGTCTGCGTACAACTGACTCCCCAGACCCCAACCAGTTGGGAATATACTGGGTATGTTGTTGTTGTTGTTGATAAAAGTGGATGTCATAACAATAATGCAGCTAGAACCAAGAAGAGGTAAGTTTAACCTATAAAATGCAAGAGGGCATTAACGGTGTCACCGATGGGATAACAATATCATGCGTCACGCAAGAAATAGTTGATGTAGTATTAAATTATTACCTTTGCAAAATCTTCTTCTCGAGAAGGCTTCATCACGTATCCCACTATCAAGCCCTCTCCATCAATTGCCTGCGTTAAAACAACAGAAGATGAATCTTTTTTGGGAGATTGTTGGGCTGAACAACTCAATTAAGGGATTAAAACAAGCAGGTAACGCAGCACATCACATAAATGAAACGTCAAAAAGGCAACTTCCAAATTGTGTTTCTGCAGGGAAAAGTAAGGCTCGGGATGGAAGCTGAATATGTATAATGGATTCGTAAAATGCAGATACATCGTTATGATCAAAGTTCTGTGGCATGATAAATACTCCATTAAGATTGTATAGTTAGTTTCGAGTGTGGAATAAAATATACTGGGATATTACAACAGCAGTTCATCAAACAACGATCATCTCATGAGAAACATTGAACTCCACAATTTTAACGATTTTGTTGAAGGATGAATCTCAGACCAAGGTCTAAAACAGTTCACATGAATTAAAAGCTAAATATTACATAGCAGAAGCAACATTCCAAAAACTATAAAGAACAATAGAGGCAGTGACATATAAGAAACAAATGCAAATACCTTTTTATTCAAACTGCAGATCAACAACAGCAGCTCTTCAAGTTTCTGAATAAAGATGTTTGATGTCCCAGTTGCAACATCATATCCGGGATCTGTGACGAAAGTTCAACTCAACTTAGCAGAAAATTAACTGTACAGCTTAAAACAAACTTAAACAAAGAGCACAGAGAGGTACATAAATAATCAGAACTACTATGATACATTTCTATTTATCAAAGACGTGGAAGTTAGCTTGCCTTGAGGCCTACCATTAGATGGATTTTCTTCAGCAGAACCTGTAAATAGAAGAGAGATATAAGATGGTAAAATCCTTTAACACAGGCACACACTCAGGAAAAAAGATCTGGCTAAATACTCTAATTGCTTATCCTACCAATCCCAACGGCTTGGCAAAGATAACAACCTATTAACTGGGTGATTACCAGTTACTTTTGTGCTTATCAGTTATAACTTCCATCAATGTACGGATCTCACTCACGATGCAAGACGTTTAACATTTTGAAAGGATAAGTAATATGTAAAAATCATCATCTGTAAATAAATGTAAAAATCTCCAAGAAACAGAGCATGCTTTCGAAAGGATAAGTAATATGTGAATATATAGAAAAACCTGATTTTCTTAAACATTCTTTTCTCCTCTAGAGGATGACAAATTACTAATTACCCACTATAACCTTCGACCAGCCATTTCCAGCCTCTTTGTGATATATATCCGCTTTGCAACCACTTACGACATAAATGAAAGTTCCTTCATTGTCCTCCCAGATATGAGCAACCTTACTAGAAAGATCATCCTCTGGTGATAAGCAGACGTTAGTGCAGGAGTAGGTATTAGCCAGCTCTTGCATAAGACATTCCTATAACAGGTAAACAACTTTAAGGCTCCCCATTGTTGAAAACAAAAATGATCCCAGCTGACAGATAACTATGAAATGTAGTGGCATGGAAAAGAATCTCACTTTTGGCCTAGAAAGACCTGGTTCATGGGATATGCCCTGCAAAATTTTTTGATAACTTGCATCATGAAATATATCTATATCAAAAGAAAGTGCTAAAGAGAAGGCTACATAAAAATGTCAGCTTCCCTAAATAACAAAGAAAATGTGACTTGTATTGCACATTCCCAAAATACTCGCAAGACCAGCACGAGCCAAGCTAAATCCTTCACCTCTTTATCAAGAGACTACAAACAATTTGGAGAACTAAAATAATCTGCTTTCATTTGAAAGCCGTCTGTAGTGCCAACGAAACGGCACATGTAATTCCAACAGCCATTGCAGTTGACGTGAATATCCAACAAGTTCAGAGCTCAAGTTCACTTTCACCTAATAAAAGTTGATTCGGCGCATAGCCCAAATTTAATATTTATAACCTAAACTTTCTGCAAGAAGCGTCTACATCTTCATCGCATCAATTCCAAAAAATGAACATTTCAATTGGACCCTCCAAACCATTCATCTCCATAATCAATTCAAATCACAAATTCAGCGCGTACAGATAAGAAAATCAATAATACGCATATGAACATCGAAAAGGCACAAAAACCGGCGAATAAGAAACATTTACGAATGGGATTTTGGAGTAGCGAAGCCTGCGCAGCAGTAGATCGGCGCCGGGACGGAGGATGGCATCTCCGTTTGCATCGCCGGCGGAGGGAGATATCAGTAAATCGGACTCCACCAGAATCCCTCTCACTACACCCATTTTTTCTCTCCCTAATTTAAGCTGTGCGTGTGAGGCTAGTGAGCTTTTTGCATGAACACCTCACACCTACAGTAAACGGGGCATAAGAATCGAGAAGCGTGCTTCTTAGGCAGAGCAGCTCTAGAAGACGTCGTGAGTTGGAAAACATGAAATGTAATAAAATAATGAAGTTGTGTGAATTAAATTTTATATTTGTTTTAATGAAAAGTCATACTTAATTTTTATTTTATTTTTTTGTAAATACAACTAAGATAACATTTATTGGATACATGGACTTCGAAAAAAGACGGGATATTGTCCAGTGAGAAGATGGTTAATACCATCCTCGTCACTTCCATATCCCCACCTCTTATCATTTTACATTATTGATTGAGTATGATACCAGGCAAACCAATCCGGTTTAAAGAGATAGGCATACCTAAAACGGGTTGCGGAGACGACGGTCTCGAGCCAACATACCACATAAGCAGCCTTCCAAAAGAAGGATCCCATGGACAACAACGCCCCATTAGATAGATTATGGGCGACAATGTTGAGATTCCTACTAATATGTCGACACAACTCACAATTTAATTTTAACAAAAGCTATTAGCTAGATTATGAGCAACAATGTTGAGAAGGATCTCATAGACAACAACGCCTCATTAGCTAGATTATAGGCGACAATGTTGAAATTCTTACTAATATGTCGACACAACCCACAATTTAATTTTAACAAAAGCGAAATAATGTCCTCGTATTATAGTTGCCTTTATTTTAATATTTTATCTCGTAACGTTTTTACCTCGATATTTGGCAGTTACCTGACTTTGAGTACTAGTTCAATTCATGCTCAAATGATGTCCTTAAGATTTTACACATGACCTTGAACAAATCAACCCTTGTGTAATTCATTAACAACTCTAATTTTTTTTTTAAAAACAAAAAAAGGTATTTATCAGGACTCACAATTAAAGCAAGCTTAACAATTCTAATTTCGTTTATTTAAATGACAAATTTATTAATATTGTTCATACCCATCTCTTATCTAGGATTCTTGCTTTAAGTTACGGTCTTCATTTTGATAATATAAGGAAAATGCTACCCTCCGGTTACCGAACAATTCCGTCGGGATTTCTATTTGTTAAATCAAACAGTTACAAAGCCAAACGGAATGATCCCATAAAGAGACCACAACATCTTCGTTTATTTAAAGAGGCCGAAACTGTGTTCAAAAATATAAAGCTTAACCTTTCAGTGTCCCCAATATGGTTAAATAACATCCAAATTCACAAACCTGAATTACAATTCACAATGTTTAATTCACAAAAACCAGAACTTTTTCTTCAAATGCGAAAATGGTAAAATCACAGAATCAAGAAAAACACAACCAGCAATTTTGATTCATAAAGAAGCCCACAAAAGCCTTTTTTTTACATCAACACAGATAATTCATAACCACCAAACAACCAACCAAAATAAAAGGAACTAAACTTGGCCCAAATCAGAAACTAATTTCAAATCTACGGAGTCAAACCCTAACTCAAGAGCTGGTGAACTTTGTGACGGCCTTGGTTCCCTCAGAGACGGCGTGCTTGGCCAACTCCCCGGGAAGGACCAGCCTCACAGCTGTCTGGATCTCGCGAGAGGTGATGGTCGGCTTCTTGTTGTACCTCGCGAGACGGGACGCCTCCTGGGCGAGCTTCTCAAAGATGTCGTTGATGAAGCTGTTCATGATGCCCATGGCCTTGCTCGAGATCCCGATGTCCGGGTGGACCTGCTTCAGAACCTTGAAGATGTAGATCTTGTAAGTTTCAACGCTCTTCTTCGACCTCTTCTTCTTCTTGTCGCCGGCGGCGCCGCCCTCCTTGGGAAGTTTCTTCCCGGCCTTGGGCTTTTTCTCCGCCGGGGCCTTCTCGGCGGCCGGCTTCTTCTCGGCGGCGGGCTTCTTCTCGGCCTTGGGTGCCATCTTTTCTGAGAGAGAGAGAGAGAGAGAGGGGATATGTGTGGGGGATTTCTTCAGAAAATTCTGGTGAGGGATGATTTTGAGGTAAGGGCGTGCGAGGATATTTATATGGAATTAGTGCTGAAAGCTTATTGGTTGAGGTTGTGGGGCGCGGATCGTGAATAGTGAGCGTCGATTGAGATTTTTGTATTGGACGGTTAAGATTGGGCGATGCAGGCGCCTTTTTCGATTTGTTGGCTTGAAATTTGGATTTTGGATAACTTTGAATTTTTTTCGTTTGGCGCCGTAATAGGATGAAAAAAGAGGTCTAATTACAAAATTAAAGCGCCCTTGCATATGAATTTCCATCTCTATTAACATTTATGTAAACAAAATATTTTTGTTTGGATGAATTAGTAAAATTTATTAATATATCAATCACTACATATATGACATATATTCACTTAAACACTCATGTGATAATTTAAAAAGATACGATTAAAGAAAATGTGTGAAAACATTTGTGTAGAATAAGCATATTGTCGAAAATTATATGTCTGACGGTTGAGAATTGTTGTTAATGACAACTGGTCGCCTACCCAGACCAACGGTCATTGGTCGTGAGCAACGAGTTAGTTGCAACACAATAAGGCCCGACATTGACCTAGCACATCCCAAGTGCACCAGAGCTCCAGAGTGAGGACACGCTCACCGCGACCCACTACACCTGATAGACATGCTTGCACTGGCGACTATAACTTATACTCGTGCCCACATCATCGAATATCATTCCTCCACATGATTTGGATAAAAGCTACAAAATGTTTGATAATTTAAAATATATAGATCTAAAATTATTTTGCTATTTATTAACAAGATAATATTTATCATTTTTATCTAACTAGCTTTTTAGACGCAGTATGTGGAAATAGGTGGAAGTATTTGGGATATGGATTATGGAGGGAGAGAGAAAGAGATCGGGCTAACCAAAGCCCGTGGAGATAAGTAGCAGAGAGATGAAGACGAAAGCGGAAAGCAAAATCGCATCCACATTTGGCTGCAAAATTTGAAAAATGCAAATAAATAATATTTGGACATTTTAATTATTAGACATTTTTTTCTATAAAACTTCAACTAGTATAAAAAACTAAAAGATAATACATAGACGTTCCAACTGAAACTAAGCACATCATCTACAAGACTATAGACAAGTGAAACAAAGGCAAAACAGCCTTACAACTAAAACATTAGCTAATCAAGAAAAAAAAAAAAACACCTCAAGCCAAACTAGCCGAGCAAACTTAAAAAGGAAGAACTAAACACAAATGGCAGTACAACATACAAGAGCCAAAAAGAACCAACAGGACATCAGATCATCAATGTTAGCCTACTAACTAATTGATACACAAAGTGTTTGAATTACAACGGGAACCTATGAACTGACTGATGTGTTCAATTCGTACAAGAAGAACTAAAACAAAATAAAAATTACAACTTGAATGCGGACAGATTAGAGCCGAGGTGATTGAAATCTTTCCGCAAGACAAATACGCCCCGTATAGTGCTGACGAGTCTGTGCGTAATGTCCCCAAAGATACAACGACAATACACTCGGAAGCTGTAGCACACCAGACTTCAGAGTTCCAGCGAACGGATTCGAAGACGAGAACTGAGCACTATGATATGATGCGTGAGGCTTTGAGAGTATTCAGATTGCATGAAAATGTTGTGTACTTTCGTATCTCATTCAGTCTCTACACTGTCCTATTTATAGGACTTCCACCTAGGTGGGGGATGACTCTTCATTTTGTAACCACTAAGCCATTAAAGGCCATTCATGGCTAGTTTTGATGACTATTCAAAACTTGTAACCACCAAGCTATTAACAACCATTCATGGCTCCATTAACAACCATTCATGGCTTGTAACCACCAAGCCATTAACATCCATTCATGACTTGGTTTTAATGCAAAACGTTTCAGGTTTAACTCACCATTAATTCACCTCATAACTCTTGAAATTATTATGTGGTTGAAAGGTCACACGTCCAGGTTCAATGTACCTGGAACGATGTCACGCGGGTTGTGTCGAAACCCAAGTCCAAAACCAACTCGGTTTATATACCAACATATGGTAGATAACTTTGTTATTGTTGTGACCTCTCCAACTCTTTTTATCATAATAAAGAGAGTTAATCTCATTCAAGAGTTCTCTGTGGGATAAGACTTTTAACCATTCGAATCTCACAACCAACGTTCTGCGTGCCCATTTAAGGCTAACATTTATTTCTCACTCACCGAAAATCAGTATTGAGAAATCAAATATACTACGAGTTTCTACTCGGAACGTAGAATTTATTCTACACAATTTAATTCAATCCGAATTAAATATTTAGCCATCAACAAATTAGTCAAAATCAGGTCATACCCAATTTTATATTACTGATTTTCCAACAATCCCCCACATGAGTGGAAATCAAATGTATGCATGTATGCAGACTCTTGTGCTCAATCCTCACAAGACCCTATTGCATCAGAAAAGGTAGCTTGTGGCTTTGAACCTTTCTTACTAAACATCATCGGATGTACTGGCGGCTTAGTGAACATAGTGCCTTGAACTATTCCTCCATAGTGTACACCAAGACAATGGCATTCACACAATAGAGCCTTAACTTCATTCCGTTCTATTTTTGTGTCCGTTTTGGCCATGAGCAACACTTTGGATTCATAAGTGTTTACAATTGAAGCGGCCCTCACTTCACACTTATATAGGTGACCTCATTGTCAAGAGTATCCTGTATTACTCCACCTTTAAAAGGTTAGGGATTCATTAAAAGTCCAGATGACTTACCCTCACCACAATCAACAGGTAATCTTGCACTTGGATTGCTTTTAGGGAATAGATTTGGACATTCTAATGTTCCAAGTGCTTCGCTGAATTTTCATAGTTTAGTTTTCCCCTTGAACCAAGTTTATGGGGTCTCCATTCAGTAAGGTTAGGTTCCCACTATGATCATTCTTTTCATTGTGGATTTTTAATCACATTCCCTCTAGCAGTATTCTCAATTGATCTCTATTGAATCCTTTAGTAAAAGGATCAGCCAATTTTTCCTTAGACTTTACGTAATCAATGGAAATAATACCATTTGTGATCATTGGCGAACGGTATTATGTCTACGACAAATATGTCTAGACTTACCATTGTACATGTTACTTTGTGCCCTTCCTATAGCAGTTTGGCTATCACAGTGAATCATCACAGACGACAAAGGTTTATTCCAACATGGAATATCGGATAAAAAGTTTCGAAGCCACTCGGCTTCTTCACCAGCTTTATCTAAAGTGATGAACTCCGACTCCATGGTTGACCGAGCTATACATGTTTGTTTTGTGGACTTCCACGAAACAGCTCCTCCTTCGATACATAAGACATATCCACTTGTGGAGTGAGAATTTCTCGAATCCGATATCCAGCTTGCATCACAATATCCTTCAAGTACTGCTGGATATCTCGATTATTTTAGCCCGTATCCAAGGGTGTACTTTAAGTACTTCAGTACCCTTTTCAAAGCATTCCAGTGCTCATGACTGGGATTGCTCGTAAATCTACTCAACTTATTCACCGGATAGGCCAAGTCAGGTCGTGTACAGTTCGTCAAGTACATTAGACTCCCTATTATCCGTGAATATTCCAATTGAGCAACTGGTTGACCTTTATTGGCTTCCAGATTTATGCTAAGATCAAGGGGTGTCCTAGACAAAGGACCTTCATAGGCATTAAATTTCTTGAGCACTTTCTCTACGTAATGAGATTGTGACAAGACAATTCCATCTTGGGTTCTGATAATTATTATTCCAAGAATTACATCAGCTAAACCCATATCTTTCATGTCGAAATTTCTTTTCAACATTCGTTTCGTATCCATGATCACGTCATGGCTACTCCCCATGATCAACATATCGTCTACATATAGACATACAATTACATATGTATTTGATGTGTTTTTAACATAAACACATTTGTCGCATTCGTTGATTTTCAATCCATTTGACAACATCACGTCATCAAATTTCAAATGTCATTGTTTCGGAGCTTGTTTAAGTCCGTACAAGGATTTGATCAATTTGCACACCTTTTTCTCTTGTCCAGGTGCTACAAAACCTTCGGGTTGTTCCATGTAAATCTCTTCTTCTAATTCACCATTCAAAAATGCCGTTTTGACATCCATTTGATGAATCTCAAGATTGTGCAAAGCAACAATAGAGAGAAGCACTCTAATTGACGCTATACGCGTCACAAGTGAATAGGTATCAAAGAAGTCGTACCCTTCTTTTTGTTTAAAGCCTTTGACCATTAATTTTGCTTTAAACTTATCAATCGTTCCATCAACTTTGTATTTTCTTTTTAAGATCCACTTGCATCCTAAAGATTTACAACCCGCATGGAGATCAACCAACTCCCAAGTATGATTTTGCATAATGAACTCGATTTCGCTATTTATAGCTTCTTCCCAGAGTGGTCCATCTGGGCTAGACAGAGCTTCCTTAATGGAACTCGATTCATCGTCCAACATGTATGTAATAAAATCAGGTCCAAACATTTTTGCCGTTTTTACCCTTTTACCACGTATCGATTCTTCTTCTATATCTTTAGTACCATCTGGTACAGAACCGCTAGCAGTTTCATACGTCCTTTTGTTAGAACTAGATTCTGCCCTTTCCTTCAAAGGAAAAATATTCTCGAAGAATATAGCATTCCTCGACTCAATAGTGGTACCAACCGATACCTCCGGATTTTCTAATTTATGAACCAGAAATCTATATGCAGTACTATTGTATGCATATCCAATAAAAATACAATCGACCGTCTTAGGTCCGATTCTCATTTGTTTTGGTTCAGGAACTGAAACCTTAGCCAAACACCCTCACACTTTCAGGTATTTATAAGACGGCTTACGATTTTTCCACATTTCGTAAGGAGTCTCATTTTTCCCTTTAGGTGGTATTTTATTCAGAATATGATTT